TTTGGGCTCCAAGATGGCGGACGAGTCAGCTCCCCTTTATCTAGTAGCTCTAGCTGCAGCCGTGACGTCACCCTCGCGCGCGCCCTGGGAGTAATCGAGGACTCCTTCGAATTGATCCCGAGGTTTCGAAATATAGCCGGGACATTTCTCGCGGGATGAGAAATTCACAAGCAGCAGCGGCGACAGCGACGTTATCGCGAGGAGTAATAGTCCTCTCTGATAATTGCGTCAGCCCGTGACGTCACAGCTGCCCCGTAGGAGTCCTTACATTACGGATGGATCTCTCTCTCTCTCTCTCTCTCTCTCTCTCTCTCTCTCTCTTTTGTCCGTCCACCCGCGCGAAATGAGTCACGCGGCGACGAGGCATCGCGTCTCGTCGCGCGAGCTCACGCAACGCACGCGTACATGCGATCTCGTACGCGCGGGTACTATGTAGCATCAACAGCGTGTCTGTCCTAGCGATCGATAGCGATAAGTAGCTATGCACTAAAACATGCACAGAGAAAAGGGGTGTAAAGGTAAACGTTACTATTATACAGGTCCACGTTAACGCGCGGTCCCTATACCTCGCTCGTTCCTTTCCTCCTCCTCGTCCTCTCCCGCGGATTCAACGTGGACATTACCTAAATCTTTGACATTCGTCTCTCCGTTAATACACCAGCGCGTCGAGATTATCATGAACGATACAACGGATCGGAATATCCCGTAGAGACTTCTCTTCACCTCGGAGCCGCAACATTCTTCGAAAATCGCGTTAGTGAACGTAAAAATTTCATAAACGGACCAAGTCGCGTCCCCGCTAGCCAGGCCAGCAGAACCTCCGCTTATACAAGGAATCTCAGTGCAATTCTCACTTTATGTAAAATCCTCTGCCGGCCTTCCCAGTCAGAAATGACTGGAAAACCGACGTCGAAACGATATCGAATCGATGCATTTTTGGTTCCATTTTCGAGCCAAGTCGAAAATGGAACCAAAAATGCATCGATTCGATATCGTTTCGACGTTGGTTTTCCAGTCATTTCTGACTGGGTTTCCCGCCCACTCCCCGCCGAACGGACGTCTTGTACCCTTTAGTAAGTACCCTTACTAAAAACGCAGCTATCGGGAACTAAACCGAGCTCTAAAGCTAAGCTACCAATGATCTCACCCCGCATCGATCGGCTGGTCCGCTCGTTGCGCGCATCATGAAAAAATAAATGAGATCACCGTGTCTCTGTATGTGTGTGTCCTCTCGTGGCGATCGCGCCTCTAATACTTGCGCCACGCAATGCAAAGGCATCGATAATCGTTGATCGGCCGCGAACGCGGTACACTCGCTCGGGGTGGACCGCGCGAGTCCTGGGGCAGGACCTGATTGTCCTTGTCTAACAGTTGGAGAAATACCCTCTCCCCTCTCTTTTCTTCTACTCGCACGTGCGCTCGATACAACTTCGTACCCTGGTGCGAGGTCTGGTGCGAAGTCTGTGCTACTGTGCTCGAAAAGAAGTGCCGAATCTAAAATTTGGGTACCACCGAAATGAATTGACGGCAGCGCGCACGGAGATCCTCCCCCGTTTTAATTCCGAGGCTCGTCTCTCCTCGGAGAGCCACGATGACTCGCCTTCGTCGCGCCCGGTGACTCCGGGTTTCTTTGCGGGTGGCATTCCAATTCTAACGGAAAGGCTCCGTTTATAGAACGTCGATGCGTCGTTCGTGTGCGTCGCACGAGATAACGATTTCAGCGCCGTGAATCGATAAGCTAGCGAGAAACCGCCGTTCGACTGGCGGCGAACTCTCGAGGCCCGAGAACTTGACGTTTTGCGCCTCGAGGGTTGAAAAGTTGCCGCTCTTCGAGTCTTTCGAGCTCGGCGAACTCGCGTTTAATAATGCAGATCAAGCGGGAGGCTGTCGCATAATCATTGCGAACTAATTAACAGCTATTGTCGCGTGGTACTCGGGTTTACGGTATCTGAAGCACGTTGCAGAGACCCCTCTCTCTTATTATGCCAAACTACGGCTCGTTATCTCCGAGGATTAAACTGTAAATCTTGCGGTGCCACGCGCAAACAAACTCCAATTACGTAAAACAAACAATTGCACTATTAAACAAATATGACTGTAGTAAAACTTTATTAGATCTTTCGTTCTCAGTTTAGCGCTATAATCGAGACGGCGCAGCGCGGCTTACTCAAGAATTAATTAACACAGACTTCTTATGCAGCTCGGCCGAAACAGTCCGCGCGAGATGACGAATAACGGCGTGTTAGATTAACTCTTGAAACACCGCAGGAACAACCGCACCCGAACGTCTGATCAGCGATAATTTTTTCGAGCAACGAGCACGTCGGAGACTTTCTAAGAACTCTTTCCAAACACCTTTTCCATCGTCGAGGAAATAATAAATCTCTAACCAGCAGAGCTTCGTTAAGTAAGACGTATCGTACAAAATAATAATAATAATAATAATAATAATAATATAATATACATTGTTAATCCCCGCCTATTCGCTTGATATTTGAAGCGTTAAGGGGACGCTGGAGTGATTCTGCACTTTCGTACCTTTTGCACTTAAAACTGCCTGTTTCGTGGAAAGATTTGTGTAATACACAAATTAAATGGCACGTGTACAGATGATCGAAAGCAGCTTGCTATTCCGGCTAAGTTAAAGAACAATATGGCATCACTGAAACTAAGTTTGTAAGTCTAATAAAAAATAATAGTGAGCAACACACATACCACATGTACTGTATGTGTTGCTCACTATTATTTCTTATTAGACTTACAAACTTAGTTTCAATGATGCCCATATTGTTCTTTCATTTGGCCGGAATAGCGAGCTGCTTTCGATCTGTACACGTAAGCCATTTAATTTGTGTATTACACAAGTGTTTCCGCGAACTGACACTTTCTAGGTTAGAAAGGTGCAAAAGTGCAGAATCACTCCAGCATCCCCTTAACCAAGAGTCTCGCAACGAATCAGCTGGCACTCCACCCCGTGATAACAATGTCCGCCGATAATTTTGAATGAGATGCCATACGCGAGATAGAACGGCAACAAATCAAAGTGTGTACACACATACGCGTTTAGCGATACTTGAAAAAATATATTTAAGGAATCGTATCGGCCTTGCGCAATGATATCTCATCGGCGATGATAATCGCGGCGCAAGGCCGATACGATTCATATACACGAGATCTCAACAATTCGGCGATACCGATAATCACAGTCATCACGGCACGGAGCACCGCTACGGAAAAGGAACATGTTGCGTACGACGCGGCAGGTCGCGCCAGGTCCGACGTCGCCGAATATTTAATTAAATGATCCGAGACAGCGATGCGCGACGGTACGGGGGGAAAAGGAACATCTCGCGTCTCGAACGGCGGTGGAGCGCGTTGGCGGCCATAAGTCTTCCACGTAGGTCCGTCCGCGAGCGTCGATACAGCGGCACGGCGAAGCTATCGCGCAGCGCCGACAACGCAGCGTATTTACAAACACGGCCATGTAAGGCGAGTCCCCTCGCCTAATTGTATCTATGCGCGCGCGCACGCACGCACGCACACTGTTCGTCGCCGCCGTCCCGGGACTCCCACGCGGGCTTTTTCAATGGGGATTTCGTTCCACTTTCGGGGCAACATCTATCCCGAGTCACAAAGGAGTCGTCCGCGGCGCGACTCGAAGGAAAGAGAAAAGAATCAAGGTCTCGGAGGAGGCCACGGGGGGGATTATCGTTCACGGCGTGAGCGCGGAAACGTCCGTAAAAATTGTCCCCGGGCGCCGCCATCCGGCGCCTCACAGTTCCAGGGGCTCGTACATCGGTGGTAACGGCTCGTCCTCGGAGTCGTAGAAGTACGGCTTCCTGCGGTAGCCGCTGCCGCCGCCGGACTCTCGCACATCCTCGTCCTCGTCGTCCACCACGTCGTCCTCGTCCACCTCCGAGCTCGACAGCTCGTCGAGGTTCTCCTGCAGCCTCTTGACCGCCTCCTTGATGAGACCGCCCTCGCGCAGCAGCTCCTGGAGCACCTCGTACGGGTCGTCGTCCACTCTGCTCCTATCGTTCTTCAGATGGTTGTGATAATGGTGGTGGTGGTGATGGTGGTGGTGGAGATGGTGGTGGTGATGCTGGTGGTGGTGGTGGTGGTGACCGGCTATCATCTGCTGTTGCTGCTGCTGGACGTTGGACCGCAGGCCGCAGACCTCGCAGACGGCCGCCGGGTCCGCCCAGGAGCGCGCCGGTACCCGGTACGGCGATGGCCGGCTGCTCTTGTGGCTGATGCTGGACTTGGCCTTGAGACTGGACAGCCGCAGATTCTCCTTGATCTGCGACACCAGCAGGTCGACGTCGCGCGCGAGAAACGCGTCCGCCTGCGCCGCGCCGTCCGGCATCACGCCGATCAGATACGTCGTCTCCTCCGCGCTCGGCATCCTCGGGGCCTCTCTCTCTCTCTCTCTCTCTCTTTCTCTCGACGCACGGATGTCTCCCCGCGCGCGATACGAGCCACTACTCGTAGTAAACAGACTGTGCAATGGGGACTTGACGGCTCCTCTAAAGGCTTTTGTGTTTTTGTCCTCTCTCCTTCTAATCCCCCGACGTTATCGCCTCTCTCTTTCTTCACGCGTACGATGTTTCCGCCTCTCTCTCTCTCTCTGTTCTTCCTACGGTGTTCACCTGGGTCGATGATCCTTCGACAATACACAGGCGAGCGCAAGAAGCGGGAAGGGAGGGGGGGAAGAGAGAGCCGCACTATCCTTCCAGGAAAACAAAGTTCCCTCTTGAGAAGAAGAAAAAAGCAAGGAGTCTCGGCGGACGAGCACCCGCGAGACCACTTTTCTCACGACGAAACGGCACCCGCGGTCGCTCTCCGATCGAGTCGCCGACACGTCAACAATAATACACGGTGGCGGCGTATATATACGACGGCGTATCCGCGACGCGAGCGGGCGCGTTCGTGCGTAATCGGACGGGACGCGGGTGATTCACTGGACAAATACGCACAGCGACGGCGGCGGCGACGACGGCGACGCAGCGATATCCTGCGGCTTCGCTCGCACGCACGCACGCTTTCTCGACGCGTCGTCGGCGAGACGTAACGCGCCACGACGAGAGTCTCGCGCGCGCGTCCAAGCGCGGCTGGCTGCTGAATGAACGCCCGCGCGAGTACGAGCACGCGCGCGCGCGCGCGCGCGCGTTGCTAATCTACGCGCATAAACAAACGCACACACAGGCAGCTGCGGATATACGTTTACTCGCGGCGCGCGCACACACGTACACACGCACGCGGTTCCTCTTTCTCTCTTTTCCCCACTTGGGCGCTACACTAGCGGCGCATTGTTTTGCTTCCAGGCCGATCGAACGTACACACAGTGCCTGCGCCCGAATCTCTCTCTCTCTCTCTCTCTCTCTCTCTCTCTCTCTCGCTCGCTCGCTCGCTCGCTCTCTGCGACGAGGATCGGTGCGGCGGCAGGTTGCACAACGCGCGCACACGCTCGTTACACGCACCTACTCCGCTCCGATGAGGTAACGCATTGCGGAGAGAAGGGGGGGTGGTGGGATTTTGGCCCGACGCGACGGAAAGGCGATGGTATCTCGCCGCTTTCGAATCGGATAACACACCAGTTCCTCCCGTCTATTTACAATCCCTCCCGTTGTCTCGGTCCTGAGGTAGTGGCGATTCCAGGCACGGCTTCTCGTCGCCGCCGCTCCTCGGCGTAATCCACTTGTCGCCCTCGCGTCGCGTCGCCGACGGCTCCTCCCCCTCCCGGTTCTCGCACACAGTCGCAGATTTAAATGTCGCTCCGACTCGCTCCGACTCTGGAGGTAGTCTCTCGGTGCGCTCCGCTCTCGTCAAGATACTCGCGCCGAGGAGAGCCGTCTCGCCCTGCGCCCGCTCCTTTGTTTACCTGGCGCGACTGGATCGCGCGCGACAACTGCAACCGGCTTCCCCCGAACAGCTTTACGTGGCGCGGAGCAGCGGCCCAGGCCACAGCCAGCGGCGCGCACACACACAGGCCTCAGCGAGCACGGAGAGCGAAGAGCGAGCGGCTGCCCGTTCGTCCGCCAGCCATGAACCTTCTACTCTGTTATTATTGTTTTGGTCGGGCGGCGCATGCGCACCGCCGCGCTGCCTCCCCGCCTGCCCCGCCGCCGCGCCGGTGTCCCCGCCACTCGTCCCCCTCCGCGCTCGCCGGCTCGTGTAAACAAACCGTTAACTCACGGGTCCCCGGCAAATCGATAATACTCCTCGCCTCGCCACTTCCCCGTTCCGTGTTCTCTCTCTCGCGCGCCTCCCTCCCTCTCTTCTCTTCCGCCCGCGCTGCACTGTTTCGGCTCAAGAAAGCGCGCGCGCGCATCGCTGCCGATCGGAAAACGCCTTTGTCGTATCCGCGGGGAATTCACGGCAGATGAGGCGCCCGCGAAAGGCTGCGTTTCATAAACGAGGCGGTCGTTTCTCAAATTCTTTCGTGTCTGTACGCGCGGAGACCTCTTTCTCTCTCTCTCTCGCGCGCGCGCGCGGAAGCGTGGCGATTTTGAACGAAATGTCGCGACGAAGGGGAGGGGAGGAGAGCGGCGGAGGGGCAGCGCGTCGATGAGCGGAACAGGACGGGGGAGGAGTGGAGAGGGGACGTCGATGCGCGCGGATCAAGGTTACACTCGGGCACCTCCTCTACGTCATCCCTAGTTGTGTTCAGTAGCGGCGTTAGGGCGGGGCGCGGTTCCCAGTGAGAAATGATTCGTCGATCGACGTCGAAGCGACGTCGAATCGACATCGACACCGTCGAATTGACGTCGATCGACATCGTCTCGATATCGATCGACGAATCATTTCTCACTGGATTGGGCGATCGCCCAGGACGCCAAATCTGTAGGGGCGCCGCTACCTGGTTTCACCTAGTTTGAGAGTGAGAGAGATTCCCTGAAGTATAAAAACAAAATGGGGTTCATCGTTCGATATTATCACCCTGTCTTTTCCTTCACAAGAATTTCGAGCCCTTGAATTTGAATGGGCGCCACGATAATCTTGCCCAGGGCGCCAATGTTGCTAAAACCGGCACTGGTTGTGTTTATACGCGCGTGCGCCGAGCCCGCACGCACACACACGCTCGTCCTTGGGACGAATCATTCATTATCGCGTCCGACGTAATGCTCCGAGCGTATTACGTCCACGAAAACCCGGCGGCGGTCGGATTTCCTCTGATAACTCGGGAGAATCTAGATTGGAAGGGCCGAGACTAAAGTACAGGGGGGAACGAGTGCCACGCAAAGAAAAGATTGACCAAAAGAGCTAAAAGTTAGCAGCGACAGCTAAAATGTGTCTTTGAAATAGGGACAGCTAATGTTGTTGCTGCCGAACCTCAATTTATTGGCTCTTTGAATTTAGATACTGCAGCAAAAAATATTAGCCGATACATATGGCAATGTCTCAAAAATAATTGTGAATCGCATGTCGGGATCGCGCGCGTAATATATTTCGAAGTAGCTGCTCGTGCTAAAGTGCGCTGATCTTTCCAACTAAAAAGTTGTATCTCGCAGTAATTGAATTTTATCTATAATTAACAACTTTTAGCAATGGCAACAAAACACTTAGCCTTTTCACTAAATTCAAAGCAGCTACTGAAATTTAGCTGTAATTACCAAGTCATTTCTTTGCATGTGGTATTTCGCCGAGTGTATCGCGATACGGTCTGCGTTATTTTGCAATTCGTTTAATTTAACAAGAATATAAAAATACATAAGCATTGAAAAATAGAAATATTTTATAATTACAATACTGGATATCCTTGAAACGGTGACAATTATTTCCATCAAAATCCTTCGGAATAACATTTAGAATACGATCAGCTCATTCATTCAGCACGGTTTCCGTCTCTTCCACCTCGTCATCCAGCTGATGTTCTCGACACTTCTCGTTCCTTCTATATAATTCGTTAATTTGCCTCACTCGGTTTACTTTCTACGGCATCTCCGAAGTGAGACTCATTCGCTCTTTGTTCGGCTTGCTCGTATTTCATCCTTAATGTATCGGGCTCCACCAAGAATCTCTGCCATAAAATGTCCTTCTCGCGTTCCAGATTGACGTCCATCCTCTGCGATACGAGAATTATTAACAAATGTTGTACGACTTTTATGAATTATTAATACATTTGTAGCTATTTGTACCATTCGTTCTTTCAAACGACTTCTCATCTTCGTTATATCTCCCTGCACCTCTTGAACGGTCGCGGATATTTCCTCGAACTTTGTGCTTATTTCATATGAAGCTGGCTTGAGGCTGATCGTCGGTCCGGTTCGCGTCTCGGCCGTGTAATCCTTATCGACTTCGCTTTTCCTAAACCCACAAAAACACTCAAAGATAACATGTCACCAATATACACAAGATTATTAGTAATACTTACAATTCCCGTAATTTGTCTATTTTATCAGTCAGATACGTTTCCAACATTAATTTCTTCTTTTCCGCGTTGTCAGCTATGAGGTCGTCGTATCTCTTCAAAGCGGCAGAGAGCTGCGACTTGTCCGAGTTATCATCGCCGAGCATCATGGACATGAATAATTGATTAAACACATTACAGGTTTTCGGAGATTGCACGTTCACGAGAGTCGCGTATTCGTCCTGTTTTTGCTGCAAGACTTCCTACACATGTTATTTTGTCTCTATGAATGGTGCGAATAATTATTTTTATTACAAGACTCGTGAGAAATACGTTAATTACTAACGCATCTTGTGGAGGAAAGCTCGTATTCCGTGGTAAGGTAATGGCGAGTGTCAGCGATGAATTCAGCAACATCGCGCAGGCAACGAAACTGCATTTCCATTAACATACACAGCAAGTCGACGTGAACATGCCCGTGCTTTCCCACAAGCGAGTGTAAATTCTTGAGCCTTTCGAGGCGCGCTTTCCTCCGCTCGAGACGGGCGAGGGTGTCGTTCTTCAAGATCTTTATTATCTCCATTTCCGCATATTGCGCTGCCACCGATAGCTGCTGATCCCGCAAAAGCTCAACATTCTGCTCCAAACTATCCCTTTGTATAGTCAACGTCTGTATCTCGTCTCTGTTTAGTAAGATATTACATTTTAAATGTTTTTTTCCCTCCATATCTAAACCATAAAATAATGTTAATTACACAGGTCTACAAATTTTCAACAATTTTAAGTTAATGGAATGAAATCAAGTGCACTTTATGTAATATTTAGTCGCTGAATCCGAATCTGGCCTCCGTTTTCTCCCATCACGTCAGAATTTTTAGATATGACCCATTTTTTATCTTAAGCAAAAAAAATGGAAAAATTCAAGTTTGCCCCTATGCATTTTGTTACTGATAGAGTAAAGGGTATTATGACGCATGTTTTCTACTCAGTTTTTCATGCTGATTTCAAGAATGATCGGAAATTTTCAATCACGTTCCGATTTGAAGACATTAGCGGTAAAGCTGGAAATACGGTGTTTTCGGATGTTTTACATTACTTCTTCCTTTTATGAGGAATATTATCTGTTATTGAGGTTGACTAGAGCTTGTCGCTGTTTTTATTTACTTTTCGTTTAGTTTCGCTGACTCACCTTTTCGGTTAACAGTCCGAGCTCGCGAGAAACGGTCTCAATCGAGCGAAAGTCGCGAACCTGTGTTCATCTTACTCACGATCGCGAAAGCAGCACTCGTATCACTTTTCACTTTTTGGCGCTTTTTTGTTAATTACATATACCACTGAAAATAAGTAGTATTTTTCCGTTTTTTGCTTAAGATAAAAAATGGGCCATATCTAAAAATTCTGACGTGATGGGAGAAAACGGAGGCCAGATTCGAATTCAGCGACCAAAATTACATAATGTGCGCTTGGTTTCATTCCATTAACATGACCCTTGTAGACCTGTGTTATTCTAGCGTTAATTTAACTTAACGTAAATGGTATCTATTACTTACTGCAATTTACTACTACCAGGCACTTTCAAAACGCCACCATTGTAGATATCCTGTGCGCATTCCAACATTGCCATGTAAGATTTCTCTTCAGCACCAGCATTAATCTCATCTACCTTAGAACTGGTCAAACTGTACAAGAAATAATGAAAAACAGTTATACCGCTATCTAACTGTCCCCTGAGACAGAGACAAAGCTGCCCACTTTTAGCATCTTACTATAAGTTATAGAATCGACCTTCTGCTCGAGTCTAAGTCAAACGGAAGAAAAACGCCGAGTCAGCCGACTGATAAATACAGAGGCGGGTGGTGACGTAAAAGTTTATATGTCAAACTAGTACGAAAAATCGACCTGACTGTAACGGACAATAGATATTTGTCAACTTATCGGAACATACGTATCTACTTACTTTGTTTCACACAAGGACAATTCGTGTAATTTTTCATCCATCTGCTTATCCCTGCTGTCACTCATCAGAGATACATAATTGGAATCCTCTTCCTGCTTATCCTTCGTAGCGCCAGTTCCGAATTGCTTCTTTATGTGAATACCCAGAGAGCGAACGTAGAGTTCGATCTGCTTCATAAACGAGTCGATGGGCATTTGTGACCATAACACCGCCTTGCCTTGCTGAAGGAAATAAATTCCAATCGGCGAGTCAAAAAAATACTCGTAAAACTAATTACAAGCAAAGATAATCACATTCTTAGCCGCATTGGCGTACACGTTCAGAAGGCACTCGATATCCTTGGAAAATTGACAATTAGCATCATCAAATTCTTTCAGAACAACGCTGCAGTCCTCGTACGTCTTCTCCAGCTCGATCTGCTCTTTATTCAGCATGGCTTCTTCCTCCTCGATGTCGTCGTCCAACTTGTTTTCGACTTCCCTGCAACAGAGCCATCTCTCCAATATCCACTTCTACCAATGTAGTTCAATTTTAATCTCGGTTTAATTTATTTTCTATCTTTTTCCTAGAACTAGAAAAGGATGAAAAGAAAGTTAAACCGAGATTAAAATTAATCCGCATTGATATAGAAATGGACAGAAATGATTTAATTGCTGTACCGATACTCTGGGCCCCAGTTTTTCATTTTCTGTTTAACCAGAAGTCAGCCGATTCTCCATCTTTTTCTATGTTATTATCTACAAAGAGACGGAGAATTGACTAACCTCTGGTTAACAATTAACCAGAAAATGAAAAATTGTACTTGAGAGGATTGGCATGTAGATTCAGCGTTTGAAGAAACTTAAGCGCGAGCGCTGGATTAATCGCTAATTGAAATTCTTCAAATACATATGCTAAGTGACGAAATTATCGAAAAAAGCATTGAAGTAAACCATTTTTGGTTTATGACTTTTTAGCTCCAAGAGAGGAAATTTGATCATAAAGAGTCCTTACTTCAGAACTTTTATACCCTGCTTTAACGACTGCAGATACTCCTCGTCCTTTCTGCAGCTCTCCTTCAACGCTTCATATTCTGCAAACAGATCCTCCTGACACGTATCGTCCAGGCTGACAAGTTTCAACAGGTCCGGGCAATCTTTAGTGGCTTCTTCCAGCGCAGCGTCCAGCGCTTCGCCCTTTAACTGTTCGCCTGCATTTTCCAATGTATTTTTTCTACAGGAAAAAAAGAGAAACCGTCAGAGGTTCAACCTCCCACTGCTCCACCACGTCAACTTACAGCCTACCGCAAACTTCCCAGTAAATGTACTTTGTAGCAGTTATATCTATAATATGTAAATATCCAGATGTTACACCTGTTATGTAAATGTTACATTTGTGTTTACTGGGTTTGGTGAGGGAGGTAATTCTTACAATTCCATCTCCTCTCTGGAGAGAATATTGGCGCTGCTCACGTTCTTGCAGAACCACTCCAGAAAGGGCTGCGTGCTCGGATCGTTGCAGACCTTGCTCAAGATGTCGGATGTCGTCCCCGACGACAGATCTGGACGTAGCTCGCATATCTTGTTGTAAAGTACTTTACCGGTAACGCTCGTCTTTCTGCTCATCTTGTCGCGCTTACTCCTTCTCGCCCTTCCCGGTAGTCTCTTTCTCGCTTCAGTACCAGTAAAAGGTTCTGGATCCCACAGCACGCCGTAAACACTCTAAACAGCCTCGTTTCGCAGCGTGCTATTTCCAGCAGTATTATGCCCTTTCCTGGGTACGATCCTGAAAAGGGCCCAGGCACTTTTAGCCGTTGATACACTGTGATTGGTTCAATTTCAATCTAATCCCAATCCCAATCCGTAGTCTGATACCACATCTGATACGGGCTTTATACTGTGCTGTGGTCAGCTGTGGTGGGCAAACGTCTGCAGCCACTATGCGCAATCTATATATACTATGTCTATGACCTAAGGTAATACTGAAGGAGAGGGACTTCCTCGCCGATTTTGATGAAAATTTACAGGATCGTGTATTTTTGTCTGTAAAACACGAATCCGCAAGTTAAAATTGTCGCTCGGCACTAATAAAAGAGTTATAAATTGTTAATTGTTGTGTGCGTGTGTGTGTGCAAGGCAAAGATTTCCTTTCGAATAGTATTCGAATATAAAGCAGAGAATATATTCTCAGAATATATTCTCTGCGTTATATTCGATAATGTATTGAAATAATGTATTGAACTGTTTGAGTTTTTGGTTAAAGCCGCTCCCGTATAGTGTCGGTTGGTGTTGATAAGACAGGTATCCTAACCCCACAACCCCACAACTGTCAGATTTTAACAATTTATAACTTTCTTATTAGTGCCGAGCGACGATTTTAACTTGCGGATTCGTGTTTTACAGGCAAAAATACACGATCCTGTAAATTTTCATCAAAATCGGTGAGGAAGCCCCTCTCCTTCAGTATTACCTTAAATAATAATTATAAAATAATTTTGCAATCCTTACAGTTTAAAATGGCACCAAACAATAAGAAGGTGAAGAAACGCGTTGACTTAAGCTTGATGCAGAAATTAGAGCTAATCAAGAAATTGGAAGAAGGCGTCTCAGTGACAGATGTTTCTAAAATTTATAACGTAACGAGACATACCGCCCAGAGAATCCATAAATCAAAGACTACATTGCAACAGTTTTTGTCTGCACGCGATATTGATAGCTCTAAATTATATATTTCTACAATAGAGAATAAAAAACATATGACATTTTGGTCAAAGACAAATATAGATAAAGCTCTGTACAAGTGGTATAGTCAACAGAGATCCTGTGGTATTAATGTACAACATCACCAGTTGAAATTGAAGCTTGAGGCACTTATAACACATATGGGACTCAGTTTCAACGATACTCAGCACTGGCTGTGGCGTTTTAAAAAGAGATATGGCATTGCTTCTTCTTTGACCGAGAAACTCTGTAGCAAATCTTCAAAGTCAGAAAAGAAAAATATTAACCAAGAGTAAGTTATACCAGACGAATCTATAGGCTTGTTTTCTGTTCCTACACTAGTGAACTAGTGCAATAAATTGGAGTAAGACAAGCATATTTTTTCTCATTCTAGCTTACTGCACTAGTTCACCAGTGCAGGAACAGAAAACACCCTAAAAGTTGGGAGTTTACCTGCACCCTCAGTTTTATCTCCTATTGCTTCTACACGTCACAACATTTTTAAATTATATGCTTCTAGAATAAAGAATACAAAATACATCAACCAGGGACCAAATCAAAATTTAGACAGAGTTCTATACAAGTGGTATAGTCAACAGAGATCCAGTGGTATTAATGTACAACAGATCCAGTTGAAATCGCAGCTTAAGGCTCTTATAACACATATGGGACTCACTATCAAGAATACTGAGAAATGGCTGACAAGTTTTAGAAAGAGACACCGCATTACTTCTTTTTTGAGCGAGGTAATCTGTAGCGAATCTTCAGATTCAGAAAAGAAAAACATTAACCAAGACCAAGTTACGCCAGATGAATCTATAAAAGTTGAGAATTTGCCTTCCCTGCCATTTTTACCTCCAACTGCTTCTACATATCACAACATTTCGGAACAATTTATAAAAGTTGAGGATTTCCCTTCTTCGTCATCCTCACCGCCAACTATTTCTGCACCTTCCAAAATTTTCGGAGAATCTGTAAAAGTTGAGAATTTCTCTTCAGAATCATGTTCATCTCCAACCGACGTTTATCACAATTACATTTGGGAAGAATATGACATAAAATCTGAAGGTTCCCCTTCACCTTTAGATGATAAATCTTTAGTTGATAAATAAAACTTCGCTAACACTATAATTACAGCAAAATACACCTCTTGGACTACTTTGTTAATCAACAGAATATTTATAATGATATAATTTAATAATTTTATATTGTATAGTTCTATATACCATATTAAAGCTATGTTACATTAAAGGCATTAATAAATAATAAAAACGGCATTTTATATTATATACAAAAAATACATTAAGATGCGTTCCTATATAACCAGTGTAAGCACATGTTGCTTTCAAACATTGCCTTCACCCTCAGTTTCATCTCCGATTGCTTCTACAAGTCACAACATTCCGGAAGTATCTATAAAAGCGGAAGATCTTTCTTCACCCTTATTATCATCTACGAGAGCTTCTGCACATCAGAACATTTCGGAATGGTCTATAAATGTTGAGAATATGCCTTCATCGTCATTTATACCTCCAATTGCTTCTACACAGTCAAAAATTTCCGAAGACTATAAAAGTTGAGAATTCCTCTCCAGAATCATATTCTTCTCAAACCGATGTTTATCATAATTACGTTTGGGAAGAATACGATATAAAATCTGAAGGTTTCCCATCACCTTTAGATGATAAATCTTCAGATGATAATTAAAGATTCGCTAACACTATAATATCAGCAAAAACGCCTCTTGGACCACTTTGTTAATCAACAAAGAATGTTTATAATGATATAATGTGCTTTAAAGGTATATTTAAATTTGTACTTAATGCACGTATTTGTCCGGCATGAAATGTGTGCATTTAATGTATTATATATTGTGGTAGCACATTCCAACATTTTTTTACAACTATGTACATTATAAGAAATAAAATTATCTAAAGAGTATATCATTTTTTCGACATTGTATTTATTATTATTTCAAATGTCGCGCTCCATTAGGCCATACCATAATTCGCGCTTACTGTTCCTAGATAGGCCGTAGGGAAATCGCTCCCTCCAGTTATTCTTTCCTCCATAGTTCCCTCTAATTCTAGAGGAAAATTATGCGTGATCGCCGCCCAGCTCAGCGACGCCATATTTTGTCTATTCCTATTTCATACTGCGTCTATGGCGGTGATAAGAGACACAGACGCTAGTTTGGCTGTTAAGGGGAACCGAGTACTGCGATTTCGTTCAGCGTTGTTGAGCCGTTACGAGCTGCTTCTCGCGGACCATTGCTCTCAGGAGAAACTCGAGTGAGAGAATCGTTCACTCGGAAATCCGTCACGATGGTAATTATCCAATTAATAAAGCGTTCAGTCGGTCGTCGCTCGGACAAGATCGCCGGCCTCGTGTCGGATTTGTAGCGATACAAGCGTCGTTTATGTGCCGCCGTTTCGTCGAGTTTTGAGCATCGGCTATAATTACGCTTCACGTTTTCTTAAAATATTCGACACCGATCTGCGTAGCGTGCGCACTAAATTTTCCGCCGTGGGTTAGGTAGGCGCGGGCGGCGGGGGGGGGGGGAGCTTTTCTGCTTTTCTGAAAAGAAATACCCAAAACCCGGTCTACAATAAATTAGTCGTCAGACAAAAGTCTGAATTATATGTTGTTCGCCCAGAAAGAAAAAGGATCGCCATATAATTTCGACTTCTAACGACTAGCAGCTTATTGCAGACCGTGCTTTAGGGATTATTTCATTAAGGGCCGAGTATTCGGACCGGGCGATTAGAAATTACTCCGAGGCAAACGGCAGCCGCCTGTGCGATTTGTGCCAGTTCAATATCCGTGCGGATCAGAAAATTAATGAAAGGTTCCTCTTGGAAATTGCTTTATTCCTCCACACGGGTTTGTGCGTGAAGCTCGGGTGATTCTTGCGAAGCTTCACGTTTTGTAAATATTCGACGGCAATTTGCGTTAGCGCGTGTACTAGGTTCGCCGCCGAGGGGGACCTTTCTTCTCCGGCAATTGTCGAGCAAAAAGACGTGGCTAAAACATGGTCTACGGTGAGTTGTTAGTCGTTAGAAGTCGGAACTATATGTCGGTCCTTTTTCTTCCACCCAGAAAGGAAAAGGATCAACATATAGTTCCGACTTCTGACTGACGACCAACGACTCATTGTAGACCAGGCTTTAGTCGTACATAGTTGTATAATATACTTATCTTTTATGCATGTTCTCTTTTGGTTCTGTTTGCGTCAACCGATTGTTAGCCTTCTATTTTTCCTTCGGTGCGACAAATAGCTTCCTGTTGTATTACAGGCGATCGCTGCCAAACGAGAGGAGTTTCGCAAGTATCTGGAGAGGTGTGGCGTCATAGATGCCCTCACAAAGATACTGGTCTCGCTTTACGAGGAGACCGAAAAGCCAGCTGATCCTGTGGAGTATCCTTTCCTGATTAAAAAAACTAAACTTATTGAACATTTTTCTTGATATTGCAGCTGTCGATCTAAACTTCAAGGGAGAGATACTTTAGATTTTTCGGGCTCGACCATGAATCTTTGCTTCTAGCGTGAAAAGCGAATAAGTTCATTGACAAATTCAGCATTTGTCAATGACATTTTTCATTAGTTCACGCTCGAAGAAAAGATTCATGATCGAACTCTTGGTCTCTGCCTGTCCTTGTTTCATAATGTTAGTGAGCAAGAAATGACATGCTGAGAATTCTTGTATTACATTTTCAAGTGAATGGAACTTCAGGTCGCTCTATGACTTATAAACTTGTCCAAACACTATCTGTTATACGAAGCCTAGTTAAGCAAGTTACGAGGGTGCAAGCTGAGCAGGTGCACAAATAGGATTTGTATTCCTTTTTGCTTTATTAACTATCGAGGGAAAAGAATAGTTTTCTGATAAATTTAGCAAGTGGTGCTAAAGCGACCTGAAATTCATCCAGATATCTTTTCATTTGAAAATGTAACGCAAGAATTCTCAGCACGTCATTCTCGCTTCTGACATTATTAAACGAGGACACCTGCAGCAGGGAACCTTAAGCTGTTTTCAATCAAGTCGTCGACTCGAGGTAGCTTCTACGTCCTCCTGAAAAATGATTGCTCTCGTAATTTTATACTATTAGCAAGTACGTTAGTTTCCTTATCTAGTATCACAGCTTTATACGTAGGAATCTTGGCGGTATCGTGACCGATACTTCGGACATTGACAGCGTGAAGAAAGAATTGGAGGAATCCAAAGCCACGATTGCCGAATTAAAGTCAAAACTAGCCAAGTATGAACAGCAGGGCGAAGCAATAGCGGATTAACCATGGCGGAGAACATCTTTGATCAGAGTTCATGCTAGTCTGTTTTTTTTTCTTTGACACTGACTTTCTCAAAGTCAGTCTGACTATGTGCCTTATTACTATAATAAATGACGTTAAAAAATGTTAGAGTATAAGATAAATCACTCAACTTTTGTGCAAACACATTCCATCATAATTACGTGTTCGTTCATTCGTGTATTTCTTTTTATTTAAGAAATAATGGCAATTTAGCTGTTAGTTTTCATTTAAGGTCTTCCGTAAGGACAAATTTAACATGTAAGATATCTGACATATGTACTTCATGTCAAGCGTCGTTTGTACAAAATGGATCTCAAAGATTCAAATAAATATTTCTTTTACGTTTATTAAATTACATGTATCCTTAAGTGTAATATCGTTTATTGCCTTCGTTTTAACGAGATTTTCTTTAGGGATCTGTAGAATATAGATGCAAGATCATATTTATGACAGATGGCAGGTGAAAAATGTTAATTCTCAGCAATTAATTACAAAAATTTATAGACGTCTAGATGTAACTTGAGATATACAAGAGTATCGACGTGTCGCAAGACTTGATAATTAAATAAGTTCTTGAGTCTTTTATTCCAGGAATTTCAACGGTGCTGCGTATTGACGAACCTTATTCTTCATATAGTAGATGCTCTGAAATACACAATGACATTACGAGGAGAAAAGCAATTTGACTTGTTAACATGTAAAAGAAAGAAACAGTCGTTCGAATTGAATAGAAAACGTTTCTATTCGCAGGAAAATTACCTCCTGGCTTTAGGCAAATCCGAGACAGAGTAAGATTGACGATTTCACGTGGCTTTCGCCGCTTGCCTGCGCTTTACTTCCCAATTGTAGATACGCGCCATGTTCACCTCCATGGTGGTGTACTGATCGCGAACAAAGTCTAAATCGTGCTCTACGTATCCTAAATTCTTCTTGGCCGCCTCGATATTTTTCGTCAGCACTTCCTGCGCGTCGTTCAAGGTATATTCTAGCATGACATTAGCGCCCAGCCATAGACACACCTTGTCGGTGGGTGGTATCACGGCTTTCGCGTAAACCTGTTCCGATAATAGGAATTGCGTTTCTAAGCTACTCTTCTCGACCTGCAGTTTCTCGATCATCTCCAGGGATCTCTCCAGATCTGGTATCTGCGACTTTAAGCGTCTTCGTTTGTTCACTAGGTTAAACTCCATAAACTTGTACTTCCCGTGGCTCTCGTCGAGCTTCCTGAGTACCTTGTCCACCGTTTCGTTCTCTGGCTTCGCCATGAAAGCCTCGACGTCATCCTGAAATCAACGCGGCGCACAGGTGCGAGATCGTAGGCTCAGTTCGGTGAATGTTACTTGGTAAAAAAAAAAGGACATTTAATTTTAACTATTAAGGACAATCGCGAAAACGTTTCTGTGCAATACGCTCATTCAGTCGTACGAGGCTCGAATCAACTGAAAGGCAAAGTAAATAAAAATTAGAATAGCAAATTCATAACGAGATGAAACGGTACAGCGTGATTTTTTTTCGGTGACCATATAAGGTCCGGTTGATCGATTGAAATTTTGATCGGTCGATGCACACGCGAGACCTTTAAGTGGCGATAAAAATCAAACGAGAGGCTTGCTTCTCAGCGTCTTTGTAATGTCGCGGATCTTCTATTCGCGCGGAGAAAACGATTAATGAAGATTTGTTGCGGAACGAGCGGGGCGAGGCGGTTTTCGTGAGCGACAACTCGGACGTCGGGGACGATGTTACGATGAGGAGGTCGAATCAAACAGTAATAAATCGCACTCACCACAAAGTCGGCCTCCGGTATGCCGGCGTAGGATTTCCTATCTTTACCCAGCTCGATTTCCACTTTATTGTCACCGTCTTCCATCTTGGACTCCCTGTAAACGCCGCAAGGTTCCGCAAAGCACACTCCGACACACTCCTGTATTTGCTGCACCACTAACCACGCTAAAAGCTCATGCACAATGCTCGGGCGATAACGATAGCGATGACGACAGCGTTAGTCACGAGCACAGTGGAGTGGGTATAGATGCGCGGACTCGGCGCGGTTGATTGGCGCTGAGCGCGCACGTTCGTTAGAGTACCTCTAGTGAGAGCACAGTA